TTTCCATGTGTCATCCGCATCCTGATCATCATCCTCATCCTCATTTTAATCACCAGCATCACCACCACAGTTGTCATCGGCATCCTCATCATAAATATCAGCAACATCGTCATCGTTGTCACAAACGTCCTTACCACAGCCATCATCACCATCACCATCACCATCACCATCACCACCCTCATCATAAGTAACACCACCACCACCACAAGCACCACCACCACCACCACCACCACCATCACCATCACCATCACCATCGTCATTATCATCATCATCACCACCATCATCATCACCACCACCACACCGCCATCACCATCATCATCAACATCATCATCACTATCATCACCGTCATCATCACCATCATCATCATCCCCATCCCTATCCCCATCGTCATCAGCATCAACATCAGCATCAGCATCATCATCATCCTCATCCTCCTCATCATCATCATCATCAACATAATCGTCAACATCGTCATGCTCATAATCTTAATCATAATCATCAGCATCATCAACATCAACATCATCATCTCCCCCCGACCACGACCGCGAAGGACGACGACGACGACGACGACGACGACAACGACGGACGCCGCTGGACGACGCCGCCGACGCCAAAACAAAGCCAGGACGAGACGCGCCGGAAGACGGCGCCGACCGACGACCGTCACCGGCGAAGACGAAGACGCCGACGACGGCAAGACGACGCCGACGGCCGACGACCGACGACCGACGACCGACGGGCGACGGCGCACGGCCGACGCGCGCCGACGGCGCGGCCCCGAGGCCGCCGCACGTCCTGCAGCAGCTCGCCCCGGGCGCCCGTGCCACCTGGCCGCGCCCGCTGGAGACGGCCGCCGCTCCGAGCGGGTCTCGGACCACGCGCCAGCGCGTGGCCACGCCCGGTGGGGCAGTCGCCGAGAGGGGGCCAGGGGCAGGGGCCCGGGCAAGGCGGGCCCTCCCCCTGGCCATCGTCCTCGCTTCCTCTGCCCTCTTCCTCCTCCTCCTCCTCCTCCTCCTCCTCCTCCTCTGCCCTCCTGATCCTGCTCTCCTCCTCCCTCTACTCCTCCTCCTCCACCTCCTCCTCCTCCTCCTCATCATCATCACCACCACCATCATCACCATCACCATCACCATCACCATCACCATCACCATCACCACCACCATCACCATCACCATCACCATCATCATCATCATCATCATCATCATCAACATCATCATCATCATCATCATCATCATCATCATCATCATCATCATCATCATCATCATCATCATCATCATCATCATCATCATCATCATCATCATCATCATCATCATCATCATCATCATCATCATCATCAGGATCCTCATCATCATCAGCATCATCCTCATCCTCATCCTCTCCTCCTCCTCATCCTCCTCCTGCCCTCTTTCTCTGCCCTCACCTTTCACTGCCCTCCCTTCCCTCCTCCTCTCCCTCCTCCTCCTCCTCCTCCTCCTCCTCCTCCTCCTCCTCTCCTCCTCCCCTCCTCCTCCTCCTCCTCCTCCTCATCTTCCTCCTCCTGCCCTTCTCCTCCTCCTTCCGCCCTCCTCCTCCTCTGCCTCCTCCTCGTGCCCTCCATTTCTGCCCTCCTCCTCCTGCCCTCTTCCTCTGCCCTCCTTCTCCTCCTCACGTGTCCTCCTTTCTTTTGCCCTCATTATATCCTCTTCTTCCTTCTCCTCCCTCCTCCTCCTCCTACCCCCTCCTCCTCCTCCTCCGCCGCCTCCTCCTCCTCCTCCTCCTCCTCCTCCTCCTCCTCCTCCTCCCAACTTCCTCCTCCTCCTCCTCCTCCTCCTCCTCCTCCTCCTCCTCCCCCTCCACGATACCCACAGATCCTCCGCGCCGCGTGGGCGCAAGGTCCACGGAGGATGGCGAAGTACCCCGTGGCAGCATGGCGCCAGTGCCGCCTGATCTGGCGACGAAACGCGCCGATTCTGCATGGGCACTGCACCCGTCGCTAATGCGCGCACCTCAATCCACGTTTACACTTCCCTGACCCTCCTCCTCCTCCTCCTCCTCCTCCTCCTCCTCCTCCTCCTCCTCCTCCTCCTCCTCCTCCTCCTCCTCCTCCTCCTCCTCCTCCCTCCTTCTCCTCCTCCTCCTCATCCTCATCCTCCTCCTCCGCCTTCTCCTCCCTCCTCCTCCCCCTCCTCCTCCTCCTCCTCCTCCTCCTCCTCCTCCTCGGCCAAGCTGCTCGTACCTCATCTCGCCCTTGCCGCGTCCCGCCAAGGCGCGGGGCGCGAGAGTGGTCACCGCTCCTCCGCGGCGACGCGACTGCCGAGTCACCTACTGCTGTCGCACGCGATGTCGACGTCGACATTGGCTTCTGTCGATGATCCTCAGATCGGGAAGACGTAAGACTCGGGTACCGTACGGGGGACTCGGGTTGGCCTGACGGGGCCGTCATGAACATGACGAGACCCAATGTGAAAATTGACCAAAAATCCTGATGCAGACATTCCAAGAAACCCGGACCGTCAAAATCCAGGGCTGGGCTCGTCAAAAAGCGAAGGCGAACCCGTGCTCTGGCGTACTCGAGTCTCACGTTTCCCTGATCAGAACGTACGCGTGCTTCTCCACCGAAGCCCTCCGATACGACGCAGGCGGGGTAAATGAGGGCTGGCACGGGCTGCGTGCCACCGGCGTTGCTGAACGGGGCAAACGCACGCTGAGCCAAAACACGTCCTGAGTACTATCGATTCTGACACGCTCAGCGATCAAGACCTGCCACAACGGTGATCGTTCAATCTCAGGAGGAAAAGAAACACACAGACACAATTGATCGTCGATTCCCCAGAAAATATGGGGAAACATGGGAAATATGTTTGTTTGTGTGTATTTATTTGTGTGTCCTGGGGCCCCTTCACAATCACTGGCATACTCACCGAGATCAGGCCGCCGAACCCGCGCTGGCGTCGCCGCCACGTCAACGCGGCGCGGGCTGGCCGTGACTTCCAGGAGCCCAGAAGGAATCGGACGAGGGTCGAGGATTATTGAAGGGGCCCTGGGACACACAAATATATAAACACAAATAAAAGGATTCCCCATATTTTCATATATCTTCTGAGTTTCTGTCTTCCCCCACACTGCCCAATATTCTTATATTTTCTGGGGAGTCGACGATTAATTGTGTGTTTTTTTTGTCCTCCTGAGCTGCTCCCATTATACGTAAGGACCACATCCCAGGAATAATTTCGAGCACCCAGGAAAATCCGCCGACCCTGTCGGCGTGTGTACCCCCTGTCGGCGTGCGCTCAGTCGACGCATCCGTTGTCCTCTTTCCCTGCGTCTCCGTCGTCCCCTTTCCCTGCACCCTCCTCTTGAAGCCTGCCAGCGAGAGAAAACCGTAGCAACGTCGTCGTCGTCGTCGTCTTCAGGGTCGGCGGCACCGGCCGTAAGGCCTGAGCAATATATCCTCGCCTCCCAGGGCCCGACATGTGAACACCCTGCACGTTCGATACTGTCTTGGTGCTCGGAATTCTTCATGATGACCAGGGCTAGAAAGGTTGGAACATCAATAGTCGAGGATCGAGGATCGATGTTTCTGGGCGCGTGTCGCCCCTGGGGGTCACCCATCTTTTGTGCTCGCTGGTGAGCGTCAGGGCTCGACCTACGCAACGTGTTTCGCTTTCGCTTTGTGTTCGTTCTCCCTCGCTTTGTCGTGCGTTCGACTCTGCTGCAAGACGACATCGAAACGAACACGGCCAACGACATCGCCAAAACGCCGTGTAGGTCCACCCCGTGATCGTCAGGGCTCGACCAAAGCAACGTTGTTCGCTTTCGTGTTGTGTTCGTTCTCCCTCGTGTTGTGTCTTACGTTCGACTCTGCTGCAAGACGGCATCGAGACGAACACGGCCAACGACATCGCCAAAACGCCGTTTAGGTCTGTGGGAAAACACACACAAAAACACACACACACAGACTCTTCTGTGTTTTGTTTGTGTTCCTTGTGTTTTGTTGCGTTGTGTTGTGTTTTTTTTGTGTTTTTGTGTTTTGTTGTTCCCCGGGTGACCGTGTGGAGCGAGGGAGCGGGCGACCCCGACCCGCATCGGCCCCGCCGCGCCCGACACCTCCACGGCGGCCCCTTCTTCGCCGTGAAGGTGGCACCAGATGGCCTCGAGGTGGCCTCGCAAGGCACAGTACAGGGCAGGTTTTAATCCACAGGATGTTTAAACATATCGGATTTTGAATACATGATTAATGTATGAATCAACTACTGCACAAACTCATCCTTGCATGTATGAATCAACCCTTTATTTGTAATACACGGTCCGCACGCGGAGCATGTATAAACAACGGCACTGTATGGTCTCCGATGCCTCGCAAGATGGCCCAAAGTGGAACAACAGAGCCTCTAGCATGCCTTCCTTCCAGGGGCTTGGAAAGAACACCGAGACAGCTCGAGGTGGCCGTGGAGCCTCCAACGGATGCCACGGGGTGGCAAAACATCATGGCAACATAACCACCGACGTGGTCTCGACTTGCAGTCTCGTCTTCCCGACAGCGATTCCCGCAGACGCCAAGAACACGCAAGAGGCAAGGACTAGTTTTTGCCGATGCTCTCCAGGATGGCCGCCGCACGACTCACAGAGAAGGCACCCACACAGCACCACGGCGCCTGGCCAGGGCCAGCTGCGCCCTGCTATTGTGCATACGCCCTCCTGGCCGAGGCCAGAAGGGCCTGCACACAAATGGTGCACAGGCCCAAAAGTAGGGGAACGAGCAATGACACAAACATAAAAACTCGGAGGTCCGCGCGGATGTCTCGGATCCGCGCTGGACCCCCCTGGTGGCGCCCGGCGCGCTCCGCGCGCCGAGGATGGGGGCCCAGCGCCGATCCGAGAAATCCGCGCGGGCCTCCGAGTTTGTATATTCGTGTCATTGCTCGCCTCCCAAGGGATGCAGGCCCAGGATGATCCTGGCTGCCCAGGATGGACTGGCCGGGCAACGGCGGTGGAGCCTGTGGCTGCCTTCTGCCGCCGCACTACCTGCCAGCGGCCTCCCCGGCACGGGCAGACGACCGCTTGGACTTCCTGCCTCGCGGCGCCGGCAGCGCCAGCCTGGGGGGCGAGGAGGGGGCCAGGAACCTCGCCGGACCTGCGTTGGCTGGGAGCGCCACGCGGTCGTGGCCGCGCAACCACCGCCTCGCGTCCTCGCGGTCGAGGGCCAGCACCTCGTCCGGCTCCAGGGCCTCCAGCTCGCTCTGCATCCGCCTCTGGCGCTTCTTCTGGAAGCGGACCGCGCAGTGCCAACAGAGGCGCAGCACGTTCTGCCAGTTTCTCGCCGTGCCCCGCATGCCAAGCTGCTTGAGCTCGAAGGCGGAGTCCACCATCCGCTCGTTCAGCCGCAGCAGTGCTGGGTGCGTCTCGGCCTGGCGCATCTCTTCGAGCACGAAGCGTGCATTCTCATCCAAGTGGCGGTGGGACAGCACGTAGCCGTGAATCAGCAGCGTGTACGTCACCTCGTCGTAGGGGATCCGCCGCTCGCGCATGTCCCAGATCCGCCGCTCCCACAGGCCCCAGTCGTGCGTGATGACGGCCTGCCATATGTTGAAGTGCATCTTCCCGCGCACCTCCTCGAGCTGCGCCTCGTCCAGAGGCTCTCCCGGTACGGGTGCCTGAGGAGCCTTGGGTTAAGTCGGGCCTGTCCCCCTACAGGGGGGGGGTCGACGAAAAATGAAAAATACCCTCCAAAATACACCAAAGAGGTTTAAAGAAATACCCCCAAAATAATCCCCAGACTATGCTTGGACTATTGTTTGACTATTTTTGGGGTATATATCATTTTTCGTCGAAAATATCCCTGTATGGGGGACAGGCCCGACTTAAGCCTTGGGCGGCCAGCGGAAGTCGGGATCCCCGACCGGCTTCGCGCCCGACCTGTCGTACGGCCTGGGCGGCGCGCGGCGGGAGAGGGCAGGGCCGCGGGGGGGGGGGGCTCCTGCGAGAGCACGGGGAACCTCTGGACAAGGATGTCGACATGCCTTCCTGGGCAGGCGACTGTCTGTTGACCACCACGCCGGAGAGGCGAACGTGCTCGAGACACCGGGCCAGCTCTCCGCCCGGGGGGAGGCTTCTGAAGCAGATGCTCGGCCGCATTCCCAGGCGTCAGAGATGGCTGCCGATGAACGGCGGGAGGCCTTCTGAGGAGGCGGGGCGCCCCGGGCTTCACAGGTCCGCCCCAGGCTGCTGTCGCCAACGGGCGGGTGCGTCTCCAGTAGGAGCGCAACTTGGCGGCGCGCGGAGAGGGTTAGGGGGAGTGGGGACGGCTTCTTCGAAGCCTTCTCTCCCCATACCCCCCCTCTGAGCGCGGCCGAGGGACAAGACTGTAAAGAGACAGTCAGCATATTACACCTGAGGGGCGACCTCGGCTGATGAACGAAACCCCGCTTGGGCTGCCCCTGTACCTAGATGCACGAGAAGCAAGCGCGACGCACACCCGAGCAATAAAACATGTCTCTGCCGAAACTGGTCTGTAGTCTTACCGTCTTTGCTCGTACGGCACACAGCATCCAGGGCGCCCCCGCTTGCTCTGGGGAACGATCGGGGGGGACCAGCTTAGAGGGGGGACATCGAGCTTGGATTGGCGGTACATCGCCGACAGATCGGCGATGGGCCCCCGATAGCGAAACCGCACGTTTCTGGGCGGGATATCATGCCCCTGTCGGTGATGAGTGAGCGATTGGGGGTCGATACGCCTCGCCCCCCAGTGAGTCTTGAGATTCCCTCCTGGCGTTGCCCCAAGCTTTCGTGTCATCACTCGGGTCCCTGGCTGCCGTCTGGGACGCTTTCTGGCACCCCTGGCACATTCTCGGCGAGACGGGACCGCTGGAAGGCACCCCGAGGCCAGGGCACCGCCGACACGCTACGAAAACGGCAGAACACTTCGCGCCTCGAAAAAGCCTCGAACCTGCGGCGACGGCGGCGAACAGCCCACAGGAGAGCAAGACGTGCGCCCAGGGGCGCCGATGGTCCATGCCTTCGGCGAGGGTCCCAGGCGAATGCGTGAATTGCCCGCCCCTGGGCTATTCGCCCCTAGCGTCGCCTCCGAAACGTTGACCTGGATCGGGGACATACTGACCCGGGTCAATGCAAACTCGGGTCAGTCAGGCCTTGTGGGATCCTCCAAGATCCTGCAGGATCCTGCAAGATCCTGCACCCAAGCCCAGGTCTGTGCACCCCTGGCCCTGCAAGATCCGGCGCTATGGCTGACCCTTGTTTGCCTTGACCCCGTCTCTTGAGCCCCGGCCTGGCTTCCTTTCTGCGCGCCTGGGAGGCCACTGTGGCCACATGGTGACCTGCACTGCGCGGAAGAAGGGGGCGCTAGGTGGCCAACTGGGGCGCTCAGCGATCGGGGGGGCTTCAGCGAGCCCGCTTCAAAGGTCACTCCCTCGAAGGGTCACTCTCCTGAGATCTGAGATCCGACGTTGCGGAAAAATTTGGCACCGCAAACAATCACGACTGGAGCCCTGGACCCTATCTTTCTGCATCAACTTTCGAGCCGCATCGAACTGTGAGGGTTCCGCGGGGCCCGAAAGCGGGAGACGACGCCCTTTGTGAACAAAAACTTGCAGCGCCAGGATCTCAGGGCCTCACTCGTGTAGTCGAGAGAAACATTGCCCCCCGACCCCCCTTCTGCGCACCCAGGGTGGCCACTGGGGCCACACGGTGACACCGCGCCGCTCCTTGAGCAGTGACCGACCGCCCTGGCATTCCTATAAGCCTACCACGACATGTTCTTAGAACCCAAGGACGTTCTAAAAGCAAGAACACTGATTTTAGAATCTAAGCCCGACTTTCAAAACAAAAAAAACATCTCTGCCCAAACTGCTCTAAGAACACGCGCAAACCACAAAAAGGTCTCAGACAATTCAAACCAAATGACCGATAACAACAAGAGAGAACGGAAACAACGAAACCCCGAGACAGAAAACAAACGAAACCAGAAAACGAGCCTTGTCCTGCTCTGTTTTGCCTATGGGTGAGCCAGGACGCTTCGCCACTGCTCGAGCTCCGCCCGCCAGCGGCCCGCCAGGGCGCCGCGCCGCAGGGCGCCCGCGGGCGCGCGGCGCGCCGCGGCGGCGCGCCACATCGCCGCAGAGGGCGGCCGCAGGGCGGCCGCGCGGGCCGCGGGAGGCCGCGGGAGGCCTGGGGGCCGGCGGCGGCGGTGCGGGGCGTACGCGCGGCCACGGGTCGGCTGCACGTAAAAGTGACCTCGGTGGTGGACAAGCCTCCCTTTAGCAAGCCTCCCCTGAGTGAAAACGGCCTGGGGCCGAAACCGACCTAGACCCGCAAAAATGACGGCCGCGACGCCCTCTCGCAAACCGAAAACGGCCAATTCGCTAATCGACGTGTCAGGGCAGGAGGTCGATCAACCTCCGAACGTAAGAGTGGCCCTGGGCAAGAGTGACTGACCTCTGGTGCGCGGCGTTCTGGGGGGCGCGAGGAGGCCAAACACAGGTGCGCAGGACGCTGCTATCGCAGCGAGCGCGGCGGTCGGGGGACCCCAGCGAGCGCGCACCAAAGGTCACTCCGGCGATTAACTTTTCATGTTATGAGAAAGTGATTTAGTTGTGTTGAAGTGGAGGAGGAGGAGGAGGAGGAGGAGGAGGAGAAGGAGGAGGACGGGAGCCAGGAACAACTTTTTCGTCGGCAGCGAGGCGGGACGATCCGCTCCAGCGTGGCAGCGATGCAGGGGCACTACAAAGCGATTTGGCCGGCATGCAGGAGGAGGGAGGAGGGAAGGACGGGCGGCCGCGGGAAGGAGGGAAGGGCGAGCACTCAGAGGCGGAAGGCTTCACCAGGAGACGTCGAGGGATCTTTCTCTTGTTCGGCGTTTCGACGTTGGGCGGAAAACGGGGGGATAGGGGGAGGGTCTTGCTCTGGACCTCTGCAGCAGCAGTGCGACTGCTTGCAGCAGCAGCAGCAGCAGCAGCAGCAGCAGCAGCAGCAGCAGTGCGTCCTGTGGGGGAGGCGCCACCTGCTCGAGACGGGCGCCAAAAACAGCCAAGATCCACTCCATGGGGGGGGGAGGGGGGGTGCGAGGGTCCGCGCCGATCGGCAAAACAACGAGTAAGAAAACGATCGCTACAGCTGGAGCTCGACCACAAGGAGTCTTCCACAAGAAACCCAACCCTGCGACCCTGGGGCGTGCATTGTTTTTTCTCGCTGGAGCGCCGCGCGTTCCATCGCAAAACCATCGAAGACCAAGAGACGCCCAGGGCACCGTGGAGGCAAGCAGGGTGTGTCTGGGCATGGGTGTCCACTGTACGCCGGCCCCTCTCCCGGACTTTCTGGGGGAGGGTTTCGAATGGACCCGACGTGTGGGGCCCGACCCTGGGGTATACGGAGGGGGGAGCCGCCCTTCCTCGAGAGGGGTGCGTCCGAATGGCCCCCCCTCGGGGTGCATCCCAGGGTTCCCCTCCCTTTCGGAGCGGCTCCGTTTCCCGTCGAAGAACTCGGGGGGGGGGAGAACAACATCGCCTGCGAGGAGAGGCTGAGTCCAGACGGAGTTAGTCCAGACGGAGACCGAGCACTCAGTTTCCGCCGAAGGCGGGATGCGAATGGACTTACTCCTCCTCCTCCTGCTCCTGCTCCTGCTCCTCCTCCTGCTGCTCCTCCTCCTCCTCCTGTTCTTCTAATGTTTGTTATGTTATTTTTGATATGTGTAGTATTCGTTTTCTTGATCGTCGTCTTGTTCCTCTGTTTCCTCCTCCTCCTCGTCCTCCTCCTCCTCCTGCTCCGCCTCCTCCTCCTCCTCCTCCTCCTCCTCCTCCTCCTCCTC